ACTGCAGTGGGGAATATCTAAGGAAACAGTTGAAAATTATTTATTTTCATTTCAAATTAATTATAATTTATTTATTATTTAGTAATCTTTATTATCTATTTATTTAATATTTTTTTGTTTATTTAATATTATTTATTTATTATTCTTTATTCTTACTATTTACTATTTATTATTTACTATTTTTTATTTATTATTATTGATTTATTTATTATATTTTAAAGAATGGGAATACCCAGTATGCCGAGCATTGCTCTCGGCTCAGAGCTCCTTTGAACTACACAAAACCTCTATCAATTACAACAATTTCTCACCCAAGCAATATACTATTTGGTTTAGTTAAAGCAGTCGCTTTGACCATATCATCCATCGTTTCCTTCGAATTCAAACACGCCCTGTGCCATATGCAACACTTTCTGCTCTTCCATAAATCCCTCTCCAAAGCAGCTGCCAGCGCGGTTTCCTTTAAAGCCGCGTTGCCCAGCCAGCTATTAAATTCAATTATTGCCCCCGAACAATATTGAATCAGCAGCAGCAGCAGCAACACCAGTCTGGGAGAGAGAGATGAGAGCTCTAGAGGCAGAGGAAAACTTAAGACCTTCTCGCACAGCTGTCGTGTAAATATTTAATTTACGAAATTCCATAATAAAATTTTCCTTTTCGGTTGCTGCTGGCTGCCGCTGGCTGCTCCTTTAAGGCAGCTGGGTTTTCCATTTCGCATGCCAATTGTTTGGCAAGTGTCAAAATAATAACAAGCCACCCCCAGGAAGTCCAATCCTGACCCCGCAGCCCCAGCCCCTTGGGTGCATACCGATGCCAAGTGTCAAAACATTTCGGCAATTTTTTTATGTTAATTTCGTATTAATAAAATAAATATTAAATCAGTGCGAGAGCGAGGCGAGGGATGTAGATGAGGGTGACAAATGACAAATGTCGTGCGGGGCAGGGGTAGGGGCAGGGGCAGGGGTAGAGGCACAAACGACGACTATATTAGAGACCAAAACCACTAATTTATCCCCAGAGAAAGTGAGGGGAGAGTCCTGGCAGCTGTTGCCCTCCATTGAACCCACCCTTCCCGGCAGGGGGTTGGCTTTGATTGGAGCCAAGGCAGGGGCTTTGGCTTTCCCTCAATTTAAATTTCATCAGCTTAAAGATCCCTTAGCCAATTTTGGCTATTGTTGCGATATTATTAAATTCTTACACTCTCGAGTCGTTGATTTTGATGGGCTCTGCGGCATTTTCTTTTATAATTGTTATGGCTCGAACAGAGCAGCTAACCCCTTTGGCGCTTTGGCGCTGTGGCATTGGCATTGGCATTGGCATTGGCATTGGCAGCGGCTGCTTAGCGGCTCATTAGCCAGAGTTTTATGTCTCGGGCCATAATTCGTAGGCGCTGCTGGATGGTAGTAAAAGTTTTTTGGCCATAAACAGCAGCGAATGCGACGCCGCGGGGAAAGATGATTCTCGAGGCTGCGCGCCATAAAAGCCTGTTTCCCTTTCCGTCGGTATTTTGGGGATAAAATTTCGAGTCTAGGGAATAAAGGAGGGAAACATAATTGCAGCTGTTTTCAATGTAAATTTAATATAATTGAACGGTCGATGGGGAATGGCAAATGACACTGAAACCAGAGCCCCAGGGCGGGCATAGGAATCGAGCATCCTTGAGAGTCCTGCAAATGATGGAGCTTAAATCCTTGTGCCTTCGAATTTAACTCGTGCTGGAATCATTCTATGGAGAATCCATCCAACAAGCCCCTAAACAGGTAAATGTCTCTCTGGGACTTCCAGGACAACAATCGTTTCCATTTTGCATAGTTCTGTCCCCCCTCTGTCCCTCCACTGTCCCCCCACCGTCCCCCGTGCATCTCTATGTACTCGCCGAACACCCGGAATGTGCAACATCGTGTGTCTGCAACGGAAGCTACTTGTTGGGTTAATGACATCGTCAAAATAGTTGCAGCTGCTGCAAAAGCTGGCACTGTTCCTCCGGCAACGTGCCCCTGGGGCCATAATAATTAAGCCCTGCTTTCTCTTTTTTCGTCTGTGTCTTGTTTTTGGCTCCAAATAGTTCCAGCTGAAATGTGCAGCCTTTCCCCAGGAGAGTTCTCAAGTTACCAAATTGCAGAAAATGGCCTCTAACTAGAGACCAAAATACTTTATGGTCTTACAGACGTAAGGAGGGACTTAATGAGGCTCCTATTAGGTATTTCTGGGTATCCTCCAGCCAAGAAACTTTCAAGCCCAGCAAATCTGCTAAACTTTCAACCCAGTTTCGAATATAAACCTCTGTTTTTCCTGTAGAAAATCCCCCAAAGTAGGCCTGGACTCCCAGTTTTCACATCCTGTATTTCGAATCGAAAAAGTTCAGTTGTAATTTTTATCTCGAACCCTCAACACCTTCCACAACATCTGAAAGTATTGGAATGAATATTTACAAACTGTAAAATTTCGCAGTAAATATTTTTCGGTTTGTGCTCCTAAATCCGTGAAGCTTTTGGCTAAAACTGGCAAAACCAAAGAAATACTCTCGTATTTCATCGGCAAAGAAGAAATCATGTGCGGCGGTTACGGTTGTGGCAGCTTCGGGTGTGGTCCCTCTGGTCCATGCGGGGCCTGGTGCGGGTCATACTGCGGCCCCTCGTGCGGCCCCTGCTGTGGACCGTCGTGCGGACCCTGCGGCTGCTCGGGCGGTTGCTGTGGGTCGCTCGGTTGCGGCCCAAGCGGGCCGGCCTGTTGGCCATACGGGCTGTATACTTGCTGAGCTTCAGAAGGATTTCAGGAACCAATGAGAGACCGAAGGATCCATTCCACACACTCGTAAAACGAGAGGTGAGTCGCCACTGCCGCTGCCGCTGCCGCCGCCGCTGCCGCCGCGTGTTGCCAATAAAAATTTCAACGGCTGGGTGGGGTGGGGGGGGCTTGCGCAATTCAATAACTCGTCCTGGCACACAAAGGAGCTCGAAAATGGATGAGAGTACGGATAGGTGGAGGGGAGGGCTAGAGCCTTCGATTGTAAACAAAACTCTAATTTGAATTCTTCTTCTGGAGGAGAAAGTCGCATCGGATGGGCAAAGGGAAAAGCGGATTTCATTACAGGACGAGAGGCCTGCGCCATCGGTTGCCGATGCCAAAGAAAACACAGGTGTAAAGGGGGTCCACGGGGAAGGGGGGTGGGGTGGCGGTGGCGTGTGGGGTTTTATTACGAAATTTTCTGATGCTTTGTGTTGATTGTTTATTTGGGACTGAAAGAGCGAGCGGGAGGGAATGTAAGGACCTGCAATCAGGGCCTCCTGCAGTGCGTCGGAATTGAGGCGCGCGCCCCCCATTGGGAGCCTGGCTAAATGCTCTATAAAAAAATTTGCCATGCGGCACAGCTTGATGTGTGCACCGAGATCTCATAAAGCTAAATATTAGAGTCATAAACACATATTAATCATATGAATATATCTCTCTTCTTTCCTTGCAGGTGCGTCTACTCCGACTACCTTTTTGGATGAGCTGAAAATTGTATTAGGAAAGGAAACATCTCATTAAAAACCTGGAGGCTATTGACATAAAAACATGCTGTCTATTGCTGCGGGGGTTCTCTGGGATAAAAGCGACGAAGAAATTTGTCCCCTAAGCCTTTAGTGCCTCTGCCACGAATCCCAAGTCTTAACATGTCTGTACGCCTAAGCCACTAAACAAGCCGAGACCGAGGCCGAGAGAGAGAGAGAGAGAGTAAGAGTTGGAGAAAGTAAGCCTCGTCGCACCTTACCGGAACCAAGAACTCCTGCTCCTGGAAAGCCATTGCCAAACATGTCTCGGAAAATGGCTGGCGGCTAAAAAGTCTGCGTTTACTTTTGGGCGCCTATGCGAAACTGAAAGTCATGCGTTTTCCGCCTTTTCCGGGGGAGCCCATCGTGTTGATTTTACTTTTCAGCCTCCTTTTTCGCTGTTCACATTTCTGTTCTTTTAAGGAAAATGGGTCTGGGCTTAGGGGTTGCGGGATTGAGGGGGGGTTCGCTGTTTTGCCAGCAATGTCATGCTGTGTCACGTTATTTATTTTCGCTGTAATTTTTGAACTTCTCCAACCCGTTCCCCGTATTCCTCCTGTTCCTCTTCTGTTTTTCTTTGCCACAAACTTGACGTCTTTAAATTAACATAAAAGAAGCGTTAGGCTTTTCGAAGGCGTTGGCGTTGGGTGGGGTGGTCGTGGAAGTGGGCGTGGGCGGGGGTGTGGCATATGTGCCCATTCCGTTTAATTATTTTGTTAAGCAGTTGGCACACAGCGCCGCCTGGAGGGCTTAAGCAGACACTTTATGGCCAGGGCCAAAAACTTCGTTGACTAAGCCGATAATACGGCAGAGAGCCCGAGGTCCGAAAACTAACCCCAAAACTGGGGGCCAGCCCGCAGCGGCCCCGTGGAGCCTGCCCGCCTCGATAAGCCTTAAAGCGCATTGCGGTCAGTTTTTTTTGGTGGCCAGATCTCTCTTTTATTTCTGTTTGCCCTTCACGTTATGCGGCCCAAAATCCTGTTATGGCCTAATCTCGAGGGTTGAAAGAAGAGCGTACGAGGGCGAGGGTCACGCGCCTCAGAACCAAGTACCTTAAATACTTTTTGACGTTTTCACATGTGACTGAAACCCAAATATGTCGCACCCTTGGCCACTCCGGTCAACGGGGTTTCCCCCTTAAGTGGGTCGTAATTCGTTTTTGGCCACACATCGGGGTTTTAAGGTGGGTAATAATGTGGCCATGCCCTCCATAAGGCTTATTGGCTTGAGAACAGATACGGAGAGCCTTCTAGCCTCGAGATCTTACATACCAAAGGGATAACAGTAAACGCAGAGATATTTTTGTACATTTTTGTAGCTTTGCATACTCGTATATTTGATTATATTTAAGGCTTGGATAGAATCGATTAGACATTGTATATCAAGGTGGGGTCTGGTGGTGCTGGTCGATTGCTATGGGCTAGCGTGATCGTTATCGTTATCGTCTCATAATCGTCTCCTCCAGCTCTAGGCCTGGGGCTGCACGCAGCGCGTGTTCTCGGGCAGATCGCAGATGCCCTTCAGGGCGTTGAAGTACTTGTCGCCGCAGCTCACCTGCAGAGGCTTTCCGTAGCGGCAGATATAGTAATCGTTGCAGCTCTTCAGGGAGGCCATCATGAAGCCGTCGGGCTTGTTGCGGCACACGTAGTTGGTGTAGGTGAGGATGTTCAGCTCCTGAGCCTGGGGAGTAGCGTGCTGCTGCATGGCCTCCACGAGTGGTCCGGCGGGACGGGCAGGACGGGGTGGTCTCACTTGCATGGAGGCGGGCTTGACCTTGGTGGCTGCGTTGGCTCCGCTGCATGCAGTGGTAGTCTCTGCACAGAGTGTGGTAGTCTCTACACAGGTTGTGGTGACCTCTTCACAAGGTTCGGGTGTTGGTGTACAGGTAGTTGTGGAACATGTTGTTGTGGAACATGTTGTTGTTGTGGAGGTGGTTGTTGAACAGGTTGTTGTTGTGGAGGTGGTTGTTGAACAGGTTGTTGTTGTGGGGGTGGTTGTTGAACAGGTTGTTGTTGTGGAGGTGGTTGTTGAACAGGTTGTTGTTGTGGAGGTGGTTGTTGAACAGGTTGTTGTTGTGGGGGTGGTTGTTGAACAGGTTGTTGTTGTGGAGGTGGTTGTTGAACAGGTTGTTGTTGTGGAGGTGGTTGTTGAACAGGTTGTTGTTGTGGAGGTGGTTGTTGAACAGGTTGTTGTTGTGGAGGTGGTTGTTGAACAGGTTGTTGTTGTGGAGGTGGTTGTTGAACAGGTTGATGTTGTGGGGGTGGTTGTTGAACAGGTTGTTGTTGTGGAGGTGGTTGTTGAACAGGTTGTTGTTGTGGAGGTGGTTGTTGAACAGGTTGTTGTTGTTGAGGTGGTTGTTGAACAAGTTGTTGTTGTGGAGGTGGTTGTTGAACAGGTTGTTGTTGTGGAGGTGGTTGTTGAACAGGTTGTTGTTGTTGAGGTGGTTGTTGAACAAGTTGTTGTTGTGGATGTGGTTGTTGAACAGGTTGTTGTTGTGGAGGTGGTTGTTGAACAGGTTGTTGTGGTTGAGGTGGTTGTTGAACAAGTTGTTGTTGTGGAGGTGGTTGTTGAACAGGTTGTTGTTGTGGAGGTGGTTGTTGAACAGGTTGTTGTTGTGGAGGTGGTTGTTGAACAGGTTGTTGTTGTGGAGGTGGTTGTTGAACAGGTTGTTGTGGTTGAGGTGGTTGTTGAACAAGTTGTTGTTGTAGAGGTGGTTGTTGAACAGGTTGTTGTTGTTGAGGTGGTTGTTGAACAGGTTGTTGTCGTTGACGTGGTTGGTGAACAGGTTGTTGTTGTTGACGTGGTTGGTGAACAAGTTGTTGTTGACGTGGTGGGTGAACAAGTTGTTGTTGTTGTGCTTGAACATGTTGTTGTGGAAGAGGTTGTTGGGGCAGACGGGGTGGTTACACAGGGTGCTTCGGGAGTTGTCGTGGGACAGGGTGTCGGTGTACAGGGCACAGCAGAATCAGCGTTGTCCGTGACCAACGCCGAAGGCTGTACTTCAATGCAGCCGGTGTTGTAGTTGACACATCCCTGGACCTTGGAGTCGAAGAAACGAGAGCAAGTGCTTACCAGCGCCTGTCCTCCCTGGCACTCGTAGTACTGAGAGCAGCTTCCAGGCACGAGAGCCCTGAAGCCGTCCGACTTGTGGACGCAGACATAGCGACGATACAGCTGATTGTTGATGGCGGTCGGCACGGCCGGCACGCTGGCGGCACTGATACTGGCCACCAGGATGGCGGCACAGGCAATTACTGCAATGGGTTAGGATGTGGGTTAGTCCTTGCTGTTGGGCAGCAAATAGTCCGAGATTCATACCGAATGTGCTCTTCATTCTTAGTTTGGCAGCTATTCCTTTTGAGTGCGGGTTCTGTTCTTCTTGCTGTACAAAGTGCTGTACTGGAATGACTGTTTCGCAAGTGCCGCTGGCTTTTATACAGAGGCCTCGCACGGAAGATGCGTATCTTTACAACGCCCAAGTGACCCTTATCGATGGGTCTAACATATAGATGCGGTCTCGATAGCGCTGCCGCTGGGTTGTCTTCGGCGCCAACCTTGATTTTGAATGCCCGCGGGGGATGGGGCTGGGATGCTGCTTTGATGCCGTGCGTTATCATCAGACGAATGTCATATGGGTCTAAACTTTTCAATTTCAATAATTATTTCGCACGAATCGGAACCCGGGAACACAACGATGACACATCTCTGCACAGCCACAACGTGCTATTAATTAAGAGTTTCGGGCTGTCATCATTCGATATTCGACACTCGACATCGGACATCCGACATTCCACATCCGATGACATCCTCCCCTCCCCCGCCCATCTACCCCGTCGCATACGATTCGTGTGGCCTCCCATTCTCATTCTCCGCCTTAGTCCGAGTATGTGTGTCCGTGCGGTCAGGGCCTGGTGACGTTAATTTATCAAAGGAATTTACAATTGTTTAATTAATTAGATGCATACCGCATACGCACAAAGGGAGGATGGGGGCAGTGGGCCCAGAGCAAAGACATAGCCAGCATGCCAGACAACAAATGAGCAGGAGGCAGGGCAGCCATGATTTGAATTGCACATATTTGCCATTCGCCATTCGCCATTCGCCGTCTCCGACATGGACCGAGTCGCGTAGTCCTTGGCAATCGTCTCTAAATGGATGTAAATGGGTCTTTGGTTAGCCAAAGACATTGGTCCCTTCTACGTGATCTGCCATTGAATGAATCCTCCACGAATAAAGCTCAGATATTGATTATTCTCCTCATATCATTTAGTGTGGCTGCTCTTAAACTACCGAAATGCTACTCATGCCCGATACAGTGAAACGAGCGTGTGGCAAACATGTGTTTTTTTTTCTACTGAATGGGTTCCCTCCCTGATAACGATCAATGGTTCTGCGGGGGGTAGGCGATCGTCAAATGCGTGCTGTGTAATTACAATCAAATCGATAAGAAATCAAGTCAAGTACAGGTCGTGGTCGTGGTCGCGGGTCGTGGGTCGTGTTCGGAGTTGTACTCGAAAAAGTTCCTGCGTGCAAAGCGCCCGTACAATCATTTTTCATGTCACATCAAAAACAATTACCAAAGTCGACGCTTGAGGCGGAAGTTTCTCATATGCCAAGCGATAATTTGTTCCCCTTTTTTCGCATGCAACTTGCAAGAAAAATTGTACGCTATAGAAAGGAAATTGTGTCAAAATATTGCTGCTTTGTCAGTGGTACTTAAGAAAGAATTCCATTGAAAAAAAAAAAATATTTTGTGATAGCGGAAAAGGAATTTCTGTTGCTGTTTCCGCTCAAAGAAAAGGCAATTAGCAGTCCCAAAACAAATGATAAAAGTGTTTAGTTTCTCATGTATTCCAAAAAGCCATTCAAAGCCGTGCCTATAATCGTATAATAACCATCTCTAATATTATCGAACGAATATCTGAAACATGAACATTAATTTCAAATTAGAATTCAATTTGGTGAAAACGAGCATTAGGACCGGCGGTCAGGGACACAAACAAAAATCCAAAAATCTGAAAATCCGAAAATCCGAAAAATCCACACAGCAGACCGAGCACTGCGCTTGTTAACCCATAAAAAGTGTCTGCCTATTACCGGCAATTACATTAAAATCTCGGCTCACGACGGCAACAACAACAACAACCGGTAAATCTATATAATAAAACATTTCAACGAAATTGAATTGAAATTGTTAGGTTTATTTTTTCCTTTTTTTTGCTATCAGCCCTTTCATAGAAAAGGTGGCTAGAAAAAGTCATGGCTGGATGTCGTGGCTGGTCTAGTGGAGGGAGTGGACCTTTGAAGGACAGAAGGACCCACAATTATGGGTCAGCAGCGCCTGCAGGGCCTTAAAAGGGTATCCTGATGCTAAAAATCAATAGTTTAGTAGTTGAAAAATTTAAATTTCCACACAAAAAAAAAAGGAAACGGAAAAAAGACAAACAAATTTTAAATGTTTCATGTTTTTTTTTCGGCAGAGAGATTATTTATGCGACTTTATTTTACAGTTGACTTGAGGCAGACGAAAATTCCAAAGAGAAACAAAAGGCAGAAACAAAGGCAAAGCAAAAGAAAATCACTTAACCCTTGAGCAACCCCGACACATGCGAAATTGACTTGAATTATCGAATTTCGTATCGGGCCATGGCTATGGCTCTGGCTCTGGCTATGGATCGGGCTCTGGGTCTGGCGACCCTTTTATCCAACTTGAACTCGGAGTTCAGTCGGCGGAATGGCGGGCGCACACACACATCACATTGGGCAGCACCCGTCGGCAGAGGGGGGTGGGTGGGGTAGAATCAAACGGAATATAAATCAGTTTAATGATTTCTCTGCCGGCAAAAACAAAGCAGAAAAAAGTATATGGAAACAGGGGAGAGAGAACTCGTGTTTGCTCTCCGCTTGGCGCCCCGGAAACGGAAGCCGCCAGAGTGTGTGCGAAAAAAAGAAGATGGCCATACTCTTGAGGGGGGACTTTAAACGGTTTCTTGTACTTTAACTATCCTTCTGTCCCGTGTCCTGTGCGTCCTGTGTGTCCTGTGTGTCCTGTGTGTCCTTTGTGCAGCGGAATCACCTTGTCGCGATGGAGGGGCGTACTCTGTGGAACATTGCCTTACACTTTGCAATTTCCTCATAGAGCAACAAGTGAGAGGCAAGGCCCCGTGGCAGACTCAACTATTTGATGCCCTGTAACTAGGATTATTCTTTGGGTTCTCTATGGATCGATTAGATACCTGTAAAGAGAGCTCCTGGTGGAGAGAGCTCTTAGATGGAGACTCTTTGATGAATCATCTTTTACGGGACGTGGGCCTCTTGATGCTTTGTCCAATCTACTCCGCTTACATGGCCGATGCATAAAAAGTAATCTTGCCTGTCCTTTGGCCCAGCATCGTCATCCTCGTCATCGTCCTGGCGTGACCCCATTTCCCCTCAAATTAAGTTCAATCGAATTGCCTGCTATTCTGCCACAGTTTCCAATCAAAGTCTTTCAGCATGAGGCAGGGGAATGGGCCATCGGGCATCGGGCATGGGGCATGGGGCAGCAACGGAAACTGCCAGATATGAAAAGGGAAGCGAATCGAATTAAGTCGGCAGCTGCTTATTGATTTTCATAAATGAAAATGCAGCTACATGGATTGCTTGAATACCATTTCCCATACCGTCCATTCCGCTCTGGCAGGAGTCTCCGCTCCTCCGCTGCTCTGATGCTCAATGCCATGGGTTCTCGGAATTGTTATTCCGCATGCATTAACCGATGCTCTGCTCGTCCTCGCAGGTACTACAACTTGCTGATAAATAATTTACAAGGAGACAAACTTTGGAGAGCACGAAGTACGAAGAGAATCACTGAGAATAGAGCAGCAGCCGGGTAGCACGGCAGCCGGAAGGCATGAAGAAGGTGCATTTGTCGCAGCGCTAAAATAAATTCACTTGCATGCCAAGTACATTTACACACACATACATACGCAAGGATACAGTAGGAGGCAGGATACAGGATACCCACACAAGAGAATCCTCAGTCGAGTGGATACGCGACGACTCAGTGGAGTGCGAAAGGGCATTGGCGCTGGCTCGGTGACTGGGACTGGGACTGGGACTGACTTATGGCCAGATAAGCAGACGAGTTTGAGTTACAGGTTAATTTATTATTGAAACTAATGTTGCCAACACCCCTACCCCCCTGTCCATACTCGTAAGGGTGGGACAGGTGCCAGATGAGTCACATATCAGAATGGGAATCGGAATCAGAGCCCGACTCCGACTGCGACTCCTAAGGGTGGTTGGGCGAAGCGCAAATTATGAAACTCGACTTGACAAATGTCAGTGACATTAATTAATCGTTGAGATACGGCAGGAACTGCGCCTCATGTGGCCACATGTGGCATGCCTAAAGTCAAGGGCATGGGGTATGGCATGGTCTTGAAGTAGTGGTCACTTGCTGTGCGTTTTGTTGAAGTTTGAGGGAACAGTTCTTTGAAATACAACGCACAGAATGGACAGAAATATCCACTTAAAGTCAAGGCATATCGATACACCTTTCATCGGCCATCCATCCCTTTTATGCATAGCCTTGATTTGCCTTTTCGCCAAATGGCATTTCAGGGCATATGGAAAATTTATGATTTATGCTGTATAAAAACTTATTTTTATCATCATCGCACTTGCGGAGTCATCAGCGTTTCCAGGGAAGGCCCACAGCAAATCCCTTTACAATATCCGAGGCCCAAAAATTGCACATCGTTGGAGCCTGAAGGATCTTTAGCGAGGGAGAGAGCCCCCTGCCCGCTCCCTCGAATACATATAAAGAAAAGCACGCAAACACATAAAACCCGCAAACAAACGTGCCCATATAGGTGTGTGTGTGGGACTGTACATAAAAAGTAACGCTGGAATAAAAATAACTGAAATATGCGCACACACACACACACACATACGCAGACCTTTACGATTCAGCTGAAGGAGTAAAAATTGTACAGTGGAATTTACACGCTAAATGCGTCCCAAAAGAGAGCAAGCGAAAGTCATTAAATGGCCCTAGCACCTGGAAGGAAGACACCACCATACGCCACACCCCACACCCCCCACACACACACACACACACTCGTACGTAGGCTCCAAGGCAGCGCCAGCAGCCAGCGCCAAAAAGGTTTTACATGTCATTGCAGAGCCCCAATGGAGAGAGTGTGTGCCCAGAAATTGACATAAATACATAATGAGCAGCAATTTTGTTCCGCCCCTCAAACCCCCCTTCCCCCCACACACACACTCACACTCGCACATGGTGGAGAGGGCGGGGGGGTGAAAGCCAAAGAAACGGCCAAGCAAAGTGCG